AGGGTCTGTCGTGTGGTCAGGGGGCAGCAGCAGGGTCTGTCGTGTGGTCAGGGGGCAGCAGCAGGGTCTGTCGTGTGATCAGGGGGCAGCAGCAGGGTCTGTCGTGTGATCAGGGGGCAGCAGCAGGGTCTGTCGTGTGGTCAGGGGGCAGCAGCAGGGTCTGTCGTGTGATCAGGGGGCAGTAGTAGGGTCTGTTGTGTGATCAGGGGGCAGCAGTAGGGTCTGTCGTGTGGTCGGGGGCAGCAATAGTTTCTGCCAGAGCTGCCACTGGCCACCTGGGTGTTGTCATCACAGCACAAACTTTCTTTAAGACAGCAGTCAGGAAGGAGTTTCCTGTTTCAGCAACAGATTTTTCAGTAGAAACAAAACCAGTTTGTTTTTGTCTGTTTGTTTGTGTTTGAGAGAGAGAGAAATTCTAAAAGGAAGAATATGTTTGCTATTAAAGCTTTGGAGGACCCCAACTTAATGAACACATACTGGCTATCTGCTAGCTTGAACCCCCGTCTCTCTGGAACTGTTAACAGTCTGATTGACTGATCTCTTCCTGAGTAGTGTTTTATGTGGGTTTTGCTTGGGAGAGGAAGTTAGAATCTTTTTCCCGTATTATAATTGAAAGGTTCTTACAGTATCCAGGCCTCACATATGCAGTGGGTGCTCAATCTTATTTATCTTACTTCAATGATAGTGGCTGTCTACTCTGTCTCAGTGGATATATTTTATATGTGTAATTATGTATGTGTATTAATAATTTTAATATCTAAAAAGTACTGGCAAGAAGTTAGTTTCTTTTAAACCTTTGCAGTTCAGGAAAAGGTGTTTTATAGCAATGAAACTTGGATTTTTGCTTTCAAAAGTGCTGTGACATTCTCACATTTACTGTAAAGAACAGGCAAAAAAGAACATTTATTCCTTTAACCTAAGCAATTGTATTTATGTTGCTGAGTTGTACAATGGTGCATAGTATTTCAAAAGTATTATACTTCAATCAATACCAAATCACATCTTCAAAGATGTGTGAAGAGAGAGCAAACTAAATTATTTTACTTCACTGGGAGCTTGTGAACAATACAGAGAAATTTATAAACATGGAATGGTTGTATTAATGTTATATTAATTCTCTGCTCTTTTAAGTATGTCAGGTTTTTTGTTAAGAGAAATTTAATGAGGTATATCTTAGTTATTCAGTATTAACTCTATGAAGAAGTTGTGTAGAAATGCATGAAGTATTGTTTAGGAAGTAATGAAACATAGCCAGAATGTTACCTCATGTTGTAAGAATAAGTCTATATCATAGTCACCATAGTAGTCTCACAGCTAAAGTATTGAAATGCAGTTTTGTTATCAATATTGTGTTAAGGGAAATTAGCTAATTCCTGTCCTGTCATTGGGACCGTGTAGTATGTCTGTGGTCAGTTTATCGTCAGAGGTGATGCTGGGTTGCCATAGCTCATCATTCATTTCTTCTTTTTACCTCCAAACTAACAGTGGTTTATCAGACACTATCATTTTGGATATAATTTCAAATTACCTGGTGCTTCCCAATCGTATCACTGTTCCTCTTGTCAGTGAAGTCCAAATCGCTCAGTTGCGGTTCCCTGTACCAAAGGTAAGTGTGTCTCAGCATCCATTCCTACTTAAGAACAGGTACAAATTGTGATATATGTATACCATGGAACATTATCCAGCCTTTAAAAAAGATGGAGACTTTACCTCTTTTATGTTTATATAGATGGAGCTGGAACATATCCTACTTAGTAAAGTATCTCAAGAATGGAGGAAAAAGTATCCAGTGTACTCAGTACTATTATGAAACCAATTTGCAATCACTCACACTTTCATATGAAGAATAGAGCACAACTATGGCCTAGGATGAAGGGGGGGGCAGATGGGAAGGGAGGAGGGTGATCAGATGGAGGGAGGGTGAATGGTGGGATCATGTCTATGGTGCATATCGCAAGGGTACATATCAGATCTATTAAGTATAGAGTATAAATGTCTGAACACAATAATTAAGTAAATGAGGTGAGGGATATATTAACCAGTACAATGTGAGCATTCCAAATTGTATATGAAATCAGCACATTGTACCCCATAAATGCATTAATGTATACGTGATCTACCTCTTTATTATTTAATTTAAAAAAAAATAGATACTGAGGTCTTCCACAGACCCAGGTGTAATAGTAGGTGTTAAACCTCTGAGTGTCTCCTTGCAGCCAACTTGCCATGTGATAGTGGTTCTGTGTGTCACACTCCTGGGAGATTTACAAATGTAACTTAGGGTCACACCTGACCCTGCAGTGTGTAACAGCCATCAGGGTGGCTCTCATGCCACAGCCTTGTTCCTTAGAGATGTCAGTCAAGTTATAAGAACTTCTCTCAGAAAGCACATGTTTGCATTTGTTTTCATTAAAATGCACTACTCTCAGCAACACGCAGCTCTTCCTGACTGTCCTGAGAGCTCTGTGTAACGATGTGTATGTGCTTTCCTCAGATGTTAGGACATTTAACAAGGCACCTGGTAGAAGCAGCACTTAGGTAGAAGCTCATCAGGAGAAAACAGAAAGAGCAGAACCACATTGGAGTCACAGCTCTTTTTTTTTTTTTTTTTTTTTTTTTTTTTGCGGGGCTGGGTTTGGACCCACCACCTCTGGCATATGGGGTCGGCACCCTACTCATTTGAGCCACAGGCGCCACCCCCAAGTCACTGCTCTTGAGGTTCACAATAGCTTTGATTTTGTGGACCTGTTGCTTGGATTGGCTGGGCCTTCATTTCCTCATCTGTAAAATGGGATGAATTGTAGATGTTGGAGTCACCTTCATGTCAGCAAATTAAATACCTTCAAAGATGGTGAGGACTCGGTAGTCAGGAACATGAAATTCCTTAGCTAGTCTGGGAGGGAAGCCAGTGTGGCAAGCTAGGGTAATGTGAGAGCCCACCCTTATGTCAGCACAGTGTTGGCCTCCAGAAGGCCTGCAGTCCCACTATGGCATTGCTACATTGGGCAGTCACGTTGGTGCCGCCACGCTGTTTGCTTCTACTAACAGGAAGTGCTAAGTTGGTCTTGTTTTAGCAAGTGTATTATTTTTATTTTCTAGCCCCCAAATAGAATTAGGTAGGTTTTCTCTGACACCATTTTACTTTTTCTGGTTAAATTCTCTCTCAGTAATATTACACAAATCAACAAACGTGTACACATTCTTATATTTTTTAAGAGTAACATTACCCCAGTTATTTTTAAAATTACTTACGTTGTTGGCATTCAACAGATTTAACGTGACACTGCATTAGAAAAGAATGTCTTTTTCCCTTATAATTCTTATCCCTGGAAATGTAGTGAGTGTGTCTATAGGGCCTGGTGCTGCAGCTGGTGTGTCTCTGTCTTTCTCCCTGGCTGGAAAGCACACCTCCCAGGAAGGTGGTCTTTGTCTTATTCCTGGTCCAGCCCCAGCTGAGAGCAGTCCCCCCTTCAGAGGCAGGCACACAGCCATCTTACATTCAAAGGAACCAGCAAGTGATCTAAATATTTGTTCTTCTTTTCAGGGTGTTCTAAGGATACATTTTATTGAAGCTCAGGATCTTCAGGGGAAAGATACTTATCTTAAGGGACTTGTCAAGGGGAAGTCAGACCCTTATGGAATCATTCGAGTCGGCAGCCAGATCTTCCAAAGCAAGGTCATCAAAGAGAACCTGAGTCCAAAGTGGAATGAGGTGTATGAGGTAACGCGATGTGAAAGGCTGGACCTGAGCAGGGCAGCTGGCGTCCAACCCCAGCCAGTCACATGGGCATGTGGCCCAGCGAGGCCATCACTTAAACTTTCTTTCCTTAATTTCCATCTTGAAAAGTATTATCATATTGCTAGCTCTAGAAAAAAAGTATTTTACCTTCTCTCCTTGCCTTGCAACATTATTGTCATGACAGCACATGAGATTTTAAACCTTAAGTTTGTGATGCTATCACCATAAATAATTGGCAAAATATTTTTTGTGATGTGAAAAGTAGGTCTAATTATAAAGTGCTACGTGTGATATTAAACACATACCAAAATGAGATTAATTATGCACTGCTTTGTAAACTTTTCATTTAATACATCTGGACATGTTTACTTATCTGTAAATAGAGATCTGTATGATTTTTTAAAGACAATTCACTGAGTAGATACCATCATTTGTTTGTCCTGGGGTCTGGGCTGCTGAGGTTCAAATCCTGCACTGTGCACTCAATACCGTGTGACTGTCTTTTCCTTCACTTGGCCAGGTTTTCCCAGGTAACACTCCTCAGAGTGGACTTGCTGGGTCACAAGTAGTGAGCTTTTCCTTTTTTTGAGACAGAGTCTCACGGTGTCACCCTCGATAGAGTAACAGGGTGTCACAGCTCACAGCACCCTCAAACTCTTGGGCTTATGCGATTCTCTTGCTTCAGCCTCCCAAGTAGCTGGGACTACAGGTGCCCGCCACATCACCTGACTATTTTTTTGTTGCAGTTGTCATTGTTGTTTAGCAGGCCTGGGCAGGCTTTGAACTCGCCAGCCCTGGTGTATGTGGCCAGCACCCTAGCCACTGAACTACGGGTGCCAAACCAGGTAGTGAGTTTTTAGTTGCTGTTTAAAACCATTTACCCAGCCTCCTCTTCCCACCTGGCCAGCCCCTCCTGCCCCTTCCTTACTCTCAGTGGTGCTGAGTCGATAACTGTGCTTATTCAACAGTCTGGGTGGAGCTACTTCTGGATGGGTGGCGTGTCTCAGGCCTAGACCAGGCCTGTGGGTGGTGTCCAGTTACCTGGTTTTAGAGTGACTGAACTTGACCCATTGTGAGTAGATCAGGATGGCTAGAAACAAACCCAGCACACTGTTGCCACGTGGGCAGGTCCGGTGGGGCACTCGTGAGGTTTGACAGTAAGAAAATACAAGTGCTTTAAAAAGTATTTCCTATTAGTCACATACGTAGTGGTATTTATTGTGATCATCATACTTGATAGATGACTATATTAGTAAAATGCAATAATCACCCACTATTAATCTTTCAGGCTTTAGTCTATGAACATCCTGGCCAAGAATTAGAGATTGAGCTCTTTGATGAAGACCCAGACAAGGACGACTTTTTAGGAAGGTAAATAAAACCTTCATGGCTATTGGAGGAGGACAGAAGAATGGTCATTGTTTTAGATAATCACTCAAAAATACAAGTTTTAAAATATATTTATGTACATGTTACATATTTTTTAAATGACTCTTAGATATAACATTTGTTCCTTCTTAGATTTCTTAAAATTTTTGTTTCCTAAACAGTTTTATATTTAATAGAAGAAAAGGTTCTAGATGTGTATTTTCCATTACAGTAGCCACTAGCCACATGTAGCTATTTAAATTAGTTAAAATTAGATTAAAAATTCTGTTCTCAATTTCATTCTCCCCATTTAAAGTGCTGAAGAGCTACATGCAGAATCTGTGTGTGGAGGGTGTCACCATTCCAGACTTTAGAAATGGGTTTTTAGGGGTGGGTGGGTGACTCACACCTGTAATCACAGCACTCTGGGAGGCCAAGGTGGGAGGATTGTCTGAGCTCAGGAGTTCAAGACCAGCCTGAGTGAAAGCGAGACCCATCTTTACTAAAAATAGAAAAACTGGTCAGGTAGAGTGGTGGGCGTTCACCATAAATAATTGGCAAAATATTTTTGCCAGTAGTCCCAGCTACATGGGAGGCTGAGATAAGAGGCTCACTTGAGCCCAGGAGTTTGAGGTTGCTGTGAGCTGTGACCACGGCACTCTACCCAGGCCTACACAGTAAGACTCTGTCTCAAAAAGAAAAGAAATGGGTTTTTCACTGTTTTACTTTCTTGGGTTAATTTTTATTGGGATAGAGTAATTTATATTATGCCTACACACTGAGAATATAAATATTGATTTGTTTACTTCAACTTTCATATAATTAAACTTTAGTTGGAAAAAACAAGCCTTTAAAAACTACACATCTACCTACTATTTATTATTTTAACCTAATTATTCAACTTAATTTATTGTAGCAAAAAAGATACAGGGATAGGTGACATTGGCAAGTTCTGTGCCTCACCTGGAGGGGCCTCATGCCTTGACTTCAGAGTTCATAAGGCTTCCTAGGACAACCAGAAATAATCGACAGATTCTGAGTAGAACAGTGATGGGATCAGATGTGGATTTTAGTAAAGCCAGCATGCAGGCTGGGCTGTCAGGGGCTAAGGTTGGAGGCTCTTGCCACGGACCAGAACAGAGCTCTGGGTCCACACCCAGATACAGACTGAGGATTGGGGTATTAACTTACTATGTGAACGTCCTGTCTGAATCCTGTCTGGCTTCATGGAGGTGAGGACACCATTCCTGAAAATAAAGCAGGATTGTCCAAGGGGACTAAATGGTCTTCCTCCTGGGGTGCTCCACGCAGGGTGGGATGGAAGCCAGGAAGCATAACCACACAGGCAAGTGACTAAGCCCGAAGCAGTGGACTGGCACCAGAGATGTGTAAAGTAAGAGGGCTGCATACCACACTAGGCAAAGACTTAGTTTTTATAATTCTAACCTTAACTGGGCCAAACTAGTATTTCATCCTTCCCAAAATTGCACCTTCTTTTTCCTTACCTCTGCTGACACTCCTGGATAGGAGCTGGAGGAAGCTTTGAGAGGTCTGTTTTTTAGGGGGGTTTTTGGTAAATTTTGTAGCATTTTATTGCATTTCTGGAGCACTTTTTTATAGACAAATACTTAAGTTAATTTCAGTTGTAGGAAATGTGTTCCTAAATTCTAAAGTTGTTGTATTATTATTTTTTTAGTCTTATGATCGATCTTATTGAAGTTGAAAAGGAGCGCCTTTTAGATGAAGTAAGTTTCTCTGCGTTTTGGTCAGTTTGGTGAATGTCAACTCAGTGTCCTGTTGTCTGCCAAATAGTGTGACCCACTGCTGTACCCCCCCAGTGCCAAAGTCCTAACTCACATGATATGAGTGACGTTTGCTTCACAAGTGTTAATAATTGAGGCTTTTTAGGATAACAAAGTGAAAAGAAATATATTCAAGAGTCAAATCAGATAGTATGTACTGAGTACCTGTCCTATGGGTACAGATGTACAGCTGACGTCATTGGAGGCAAATGTGATCTCTGCAGGGTGAGGGCAGAGGCCTGGTGGCAGTTTTCACATAGTTGGAGTTAACAGTGGGAGTGACAGTGTGGCCAGCAAGACTTGTCTCATGGAAGATATCTATAAATGCAGTGGGAATTCCCAGTAAGAAGACACTACTTAAAGCATTTTTTACTATCAGAATAAAAAGTATAAAAAAGGGAAAAAGCATTTTTTACTATCAGAATAAAAAGTATAAAAAAGGGAAAGTTTGTGGCAGCTTCTAAAAGAGGATAAGATTTAAATAAATGAAGCATAGTTAACCAAATCAGTGTTAAGCTCCTGCTTCCAGAATGACACATGTCTCCATCCATGAAGGGCTTGCACGTGAGCACACTCCTCATGCCTGCCGTGTACCAGGCACTGAGTGCACCAGGCAGAGAGGCAGAGTCCTGCCTGGGGCTGAGGGCTTGGGGAGCAGGTGGATTAGCGTTCTGTGGTTCTGAAGCTAACATGACTGTGTGCTGTTTTCATAGTTGGTCTATAGTGATGATAAGGACAGGTATGTTAACTTATGTTATATTTAAAGTCAGTATTTGGAATTAATGTTGTGTCATCTCTGGACCTGTAAATTCATTAAGGTTCAGTTGTAGAAGACATTTCTAATGCCAGGTGGTGCTGGAAACCATGGGAACCCGGGGGTGTAGGGTAGGCAGCAGTGGGCAGTGTTGGGACCTGGGTTGGTGCACATGGAGCACGTATTGTCACGTGACCTCTGCCTGCATTGTCGTCACCTCTGACCACAAGGTCTGCAGGCATTCAAAGAGCACAGCACTAAACACTCAAGGTAAAGTGCCCATGTTAATTGGGAGCCACTGCTGCTTCATGTGGTGTGTAAAGACAGGGTGTGATTTGGGAGAGCTCTGCTAACCTGCCCGTTTCACTTCAGTGGTTCACTCTGGATGAGGTGCCCAAGGGCAAGCTGCACTTGAGACTGGAGTGGCTCACCTTGCTGCCAAACGCGTCCCACCTGGACAAGGTACATGGAGGGTTTCTCTGCTGATCAGCACTCTGATGGCAGAGGCCAACCTCTACACTGTGTTGCTGCTGAAGGTGTTACAGATCACAGCAATAATGCTGACTATTGTACTACAGCTCGCTATAGTAGGGCTAGAGATAGGTTAAAGATAGCAGCATCTTTTTAATGAAATTTACATGTCAGCCACACCTGCTTTATGATGTAGGACAGGGGTTTGGAAAGCCACAGATCGCCTGAGTGGTCCACAGACTTGATTTGTATGGAGTAACAGTCTCACTGTTTAAAGACACTTAACTGTTTCTGTTCTCTGTGGCGAATGTGGGGTGGTTTATTTCTAGCTTTCTTCCTGAATGTAACTGACATGGTGTTGTGGGTGGGAGATCTCCTGGGGAAGCCTGTCTGCTGAGCCCCCCTCCTCCCCCAGGTGCTCACAGACATCAGAGCCGACAAAGACCAAGCCAACGACGGTCTTTCCTCTGCGCTGCTGATCTTGTATTTGGATTCCGCAAGGAACCTTCCGGTAGGTGACACAGTGACAGCTCACCTGGGTGCTTATTTCTTGGGAGCAGGTCTAACTCGGGAGCCCAGCTTTGTTCACCGCAGTGTGCCGGCTGCTCCCACCTTGTGCTTCCCACTTTACCACCGGTGCCCACAAATGGCAGAGATGGATGAGTTGGTATTTGCTTTGTGAATGCATATTTATGTTCATACCTTACTGGATTTAGCCAGGATTTTCAGAATTATCTTTACTCTGACATGTTTTATGAAGAAATCTCTAATACATAGAAAAAGATGACTGCTAGTTAGGGGAAGAAGACATTCTGTAGAAAATCACTCAGTATTAAAACTTAGTTTCTTGTCTGTATTGAGAGTGGGAATAAAATGAGACAGCTCTGACTACAAATTCCTAGTTCATCCTGGCCATGGTGTGGCATTGTCTGAGCTGTCAGGCCTCAGGTGGTCCAGGGGCACTGCTGGACAGTGTGCTGGCTGCTGGCTGGGATGTTTCTGGCAAAACAAAAAGAAACAATGTCATAAAATGGTTGTAGAGGTCATCACTTTGGCCTTGGAGGAGAATCTCAGTAATTCAGCCTCATGAGGCACAGTTGGTCTCTCCCCACTGTTACAGGGTAAACCCCCTATTTAAGGCACTGTCGTCATGGCTAATGTGACATTGTTCAATAATTTTTTTGAGTGACCACATGCTGGTTGACTGTATGGTCAGTCTCTATTTCCCCGTGTCTGTGGCAGACACATCTGTCCCTCCCTGGATCGTGGTTCCTCCATAATGAACACCCCCACCCCCCTGGCTCATACACTGGTGAACGCCTTCCTGCATCTTCTCTCCCTCTGTCCGTCTTGACTCGGGGAGAGAGAAGCATGTAAGTCAACTTTTTTCCACACTGCATCCTGGATGTAGGTTATAAAGTTTCATCCAGGATAGCCTCACCTTGCCATGGTTAAACTTTCTCCTCATAGTTTATAGGATTTGCATCCTACCGTGTTTCCCCGAAAATAAGACCTACCCCAAAAATAAGCCCTAGCAGAATTTCTAGGCATTTGTTAAATATAAGCCCTAACCCGATAATGAGACCTAGTGATGGGCATGGCTATGCAGCATATTTGAATGCCATGCATTTCTGCAGGAACAGTAAGGAAGACTGGAATACCTTTTATCTGCCACAGCTCCTTTCTCCAAGCTGTTTGAACTTACATGAGTGTGCATGTGGTAACCATGGTAGCAGGCATTCTATTGTGCACGTGTAAAGGGCTACGGGAAAGGAGTTCATGTATCACTAGCGCCAGCCCCACCAACAAGGTCGGCTCCCCCTGTCAGGTTCCGGAAGAAGATGACTTAACTGTATTTGAATAAATGTAGATTGTTGTATTATACTTAATAAAAAATAAGACATCTCCTGAAAATAAGCCCTAGTGTGTCTTCTTGAGAAAAAATAAATATAAGACAGTGTCTTATTTTCGGGGACACACAGTATATTACAGTTAGTACCTTTCAAGTTTTGAAAATTGTGCAGTTACTTGGGCTTTGCTCAAAAATGAACTCAACGTGCTTTGTGCATTAGTACATTCTAACTTAACAGTTAAAATGTGGTCATTTATTTATTTCATACTGGAGGCATGTAATTATATATAATTGTACTCTTTTAATGAAACTTTCTTGAACTTCTTAAATTCTTATATTTCTCTTATTTACCTTAACCTTTTGGTTAAATATGATTTCAATTTGGAGAAAGCTATTTCATTATTATTTAACCTTTCTACAGAATTTCTTGTAAAGTAGGACTTTTTGCTCTCAATCACATTAATGTTGTTAAAGTCTTTATAATGCCTGATGGGAGTGATTTTGTTGTATATTTTAGGGTATAGAGAATAGTGTTGATGAATTGGCAAGAGTTAAGTCTCTATTTAGAACTATGTGTGTTGTCACAAGAAATCAAAGTTTTAAAGGGGGCCTGCGTGAAGTCCACTGTGCCGACAGAGGCCAGGATCTTCACAGCCACTGTGCTGCGGGCATCTGAGCTGGGGCTTGTCTGAGTGGGGCTTGCTGACTGTCCCCTGCGTGGTGTGGGGTTCTTTGCCTCTGCCCCACGCCCCATTTCTTAGTGCACGCGTTGATCACAATCCACCGTTCTCTGCTTTCTCCTCCTGTCTCCACTCTCCCAAGAGTATCTACGAGGGAAACTTTGGGTGTGGCTACTTAAAAGAGAGGCGCGCATCGGGACTAGTGTTTTGTGAAAATACTGCCTCAGTCTATAGAGCACTATTTGTGAGTCCTCCGGGGTTCTTTCTTCTTTCGTTTGTGATAGAGACTGCCAGAGTGTGGACTGGAGCCTCTCAAGCAGTCTGCCCGGTGCTGGGATGGTGTGGCATGCGTTCTCATCCCCTGCATGACTTCAGCCTCTGTGCATTTGTTTTGTGCTTGTTTTGTAGAATGTGACACACCTGTGACATTGGTGCCTACATCTCACATGGGATGAGCATAGCTGGCCAGGGCAGGGGGTGGGAGGAGGGTGGGCCTAGATTCCTAAACTACACTAGCGCACAAAAAACAACAATAACAACGTTTTTGAGGAAGAAATGAAGCCACGATGCTTAAAATTGATTTTCTTATTTTTTTATGGTAATATTTACTTTCTTGTCTTTTCATCTCAATGTGAGATGTAAATATTTCTTTGCAAATTTTCGCAAAACTTTCTTAAATCTACTTTCTCCTCCTGACCAAGCACAGAACTGTCAGAACTTGGGCATCTTTTAAAAACCCTGAGGTGGGCTTGGCATCTGTAGCTCAAGTGGCTAAGGTGCCAGCCACATACATCAAAGCTGGCGGGTTCAAATCCAGCCCTGGCCCGCCAAACAACAATGACAACTACAACCAAAAAATAGCTGGGCATTGTGGCAGGTGCCTGTAGTCCCAGCTACTTGGGAGTCTAAGGCAAGAGAATCGCTTAAGCCCAGGAGTTGGCGGTTGCTGTGAGCTGTGATGCAACGGCACTCTACCAAGGGCGACAGCTTGAGGCTCTGTCTCAAAAAAAAAAAGAAATTCCATGCTTATCAGCACTGTAACACTCATAAGGACCACGAATATTTTAAATTGGAGGGAGACACATGAAAGGTTGCATTGCAGAAATTAAAAGATAAAAAGCAAAAGCAAAGACAATTCTTTCAAGTAGCAATAAGACCTGGAAATAATGCCGCTGATGCAACTTGTAAGGTCCTTATACACTCAGGAGAAAGGGAAGCCACTCGGTGATGCAGAAACTGTGACAGAACGCATCCTCAGAGCTGTAGGATGCTCAGGCCCCAATAACGTTTCAAAGTACAAACATCTCCCTCTGGTCAAGGAGAACCATCACTGACTGGCAGCATGAATCAGCCTTCAACTTAATAGAACAACTTCATCTCACAATTCCTACAAAGCTGGGAAAGAAAAAATTCTGGATTACGGAAATTGGTTATTTTATTTTATTTATTTTTGAGACAGAGCCTCAAGCTCAGATGTATTTGAAAATTGTTTTTTGCCCACTGGTTTGCAGTATGAAGCTAGCACTAGTGCGGCCCTGTGACCACCAGTCTTCCACTTCTCACCTCTATCCATGTTCAGCTCCATGAGAGCACCACTACCAAATCTCCATCTGAAACCCTAAAACAAGAATTTCTTCTGTGCTAGAAATGCCCTGTTTCTCATTCAGCCCCTTAGAGCTTTGTCCTTTTGATCAAATCCTGGGCTTGAATTTCAGGTCAGTAAGGGTGACCTCTGACTGGTGGCAGCTCTGGCGTCTGAGGCTTAGACGATGACATGTTCACTAAGCCTTTCCTGACACCAGGCAGGATTCGAGGTCCACATGGGCCTGGCCCATGGGCACATTTCACAAGTGACAACACAGGAAGCTAACGTGATTGAAGCTAGAGGCAGGACCCCAGGGCCAGGGCAGTGGGACAGGGATGCCCGCACAGGGAACTGTTCACACATTACATGTTCACAGCTGGTAAGCAAGAAGTCGTGGCTCATGTGTGTATTCCCAGCACTGGGAATACACAGGCCAAGGTGGGTGGATTGCCTGAGCTCACAGATTCAAGACCAGCCTGAGCTAGAGTGAGACCTTCTCTCTAAAAATAGCCAAGCATTGTGGTGGGTGCCTATAGTGCCAGGTACTTGGGAGGCTGAGGCAAGAGAATCACTTGAACTCAAGAGTTTGAGGTTGCTATGAGCTGTGATGCCACGCATTCTACTGAGGGGGACAAAGTAAGACTCTTGTCTCAAAAGAAAAAAGTTCACAGCTTCTCAGTTCTGTGCATGGAGTGTATCTGGGAGTAGTGGTGCCTGCAGGAATGCCTTTTTTAGATCCAGCAATGCCAGCTACGTAATGCTGCTACTGTGGAGACCCTTAGGGTGATAATGGGGGGCACTTTGTTCATTTTGGCTCCAATTTAATAAAAGTGCAGGAGACTATTCTGCCTCCATTGGTGCTGAGAAGCCCAAGGGTACAGGGTGTGTAACTCCAGAGGCCTCCTGACCAGTGCCTGCCAGGGCATTTGCATGGTGCATCTGTCTCACCTGTGGCCTCACGCAGCTGCCCTGCACACCCGACCACACACCACAGCCTCCCTCCTTGTGTCACTTGGATTCACGTGAGAATCATCAGCAGATTTAACACAGGCCATGTCTGTCTAAAGTGAGCTTCAGGAGAGGTTCTTATAATACCTGAGGCTGTTGATCCTCTCACTTCAAGCCAGCAGCTCCAGCCTCGTTCTGTATCATTGTCACTAGGGAAAGTGAAAGGTGCTGCTGTCCAGGCTGCACCCCAAGTGACGCTTGGACCTGGGTCTGTGGAGACAGTTCAGCTGAGGGCCGCTTTTGTGTCTGAATTCCTGCCTAGCCAGATGCTCGATCCTCTCTCAGCACCTGGACTACTGGTGGTAGAAAATCTGGTGTTTAATTTAAAAACATTAAAATTAAGTTCCACTTGCCATTCAAAATTAATTACAACTGAAAAGGTAAAATCTTAAGTGTTAGTCCTAGGAACTTGCAAGACAACTTGGTGCTGTCCTTTTGAAGGTGAGAAAGTAATGAACTGAAAAAAAATTCAGTTGAAAATAGAACATGAAAAGCATAATAATAGAACTTTATTTGAAGCCAGGAGAAGCTGGGCCTAGTCAGTCTGCTTTCCCTGCTATGGGGTTGCTGGGAGGATGTCGTCTCCTGCCCCAGGTCAGACAAACCCTCAGTCACAGTCAGTGTCGTAGGAGCCGTTCTGCAGAGGCTAGCAGCAGAGACCTTTCCTCAAGTTTCACTCTGTGCCTTTCAGATTGCAGAGGATGAGGGGTGGACACAGAGTACCCTCAGTGCAGCCTGAGGAGTGGGTCAGGGTTTGCTTCCAAAAGAGATCTTGGGCAAAAAGAATTCTGCACATGGCTTTCGGTGGTTTGTGTAATTCTTAGTGGATTTTGTTTGTTTATTCCCATAAATGTTCATGTCATTAACCTTACATAAACACTCATTGCATGTTTTATTAACCCTTGGTATATTCATTTTCTTCTGACTTAAAAGAGTAACCCATTAGAATTTAGCCCCGATGTCTTGAAGAAGGCTGCCGTTCAGAGAACTTTAAAGGTAAACTGATGGTTTCCCTTCAGGTCGCAAAGTTAAAACATATTGAAAGAGATGATACTTTAAGTCTTAGAACTCTATTGGCAAGTTACTAACATAGCAATTAACTGTCAAGTGGAAGAGATCTGAAGAATTTAAGTCATCTTTGAAGGTACATTTTATAAAGTATCAATATGCTAAGTTAGTTTATTTTCCTGGTGGCCTTAGGTGACAGGGATTGTCGCTTAAGGTGGTTTAAATGTCTGCATTTTAATTGGATTTGAATGTGTGAAAATGGTGATTTAGAAGTTGTATTCAAAATCTTAACCAATTTTTGGATTATGATCTAAAGGTGTGCTTGTCAGCTGTGAATATACATTTAAAACGTCACCTCTTCCAATATGCTGTATTAGGGTCATCTTTGAGTCTGTGGGATTTGGGTGATAAATCTTTTGAGAAGCTTTAAATGCTGTTAAATGAGGTATATTGAAAACTAAGCTCCACTCCCTGCAAAGCGACATTAACATGTTCTCCGGCTAAATTGTTTAAAGGTGTTTATAACTTAGAATTTTTCCTCTTCTAATTTCTTTGAACATTTTAGGCTTAAATTTGAGGGGGAGACAGGGAATTTTAAATGTAATCATTTTAAGAAAATTCTGTCCCAAAGAAACAAGAGTAATTTTTTAACTGGTTTCACCTAGAAAAGAAAAATTAGAATTCCAAAGTAAAGGAGACTGGCAGTCTCCTGCTTGTCATGACATTTGCTACACCCTGTTGCGACAGTGAGCTGTGGTCTGGTGAGGCCTGCTCCTGGAGTACCAGTTAGCACTGAGGTTGGAGCAGGAACATTCATCAGACAGGCAAGGAGCGGCGTGGCTGGTCCCCCATTTCCCTGCTGTCTGGCGGTTATTGACCAGAGGAGCCCAGTGTCAGGGACTGTGGAGCCAGCCACTTGGTAGCACAGTGAGACCTGCAGTAAGACATCTGAGCCATTCTGTGTACTTGTTTATAGGATGGAAGTAAGAATATCTTCTTCATTGAATTATTGACTAAATTAAGATGCTGCACACAAAGTGCTCAGAGTAGCCAGGATATTATCTGTATTATAACTGTTAGTAACTACATTAGCTCTCATATCAGCAGACTCCAAGATGGTGTCATGCTCATGTGATAATCATGAAACTGAAGTTCAGATAGGTAACATGTGCAGGTCTCAATAATAAAGTAGTAAGGCTCGGCACCTATAGCTCAACCGGCTAAGGCGCCAGCCATGTACACCTAAGGTGGCGGGTTCGAATCCCCAGCCGGGACCCGCCAAACAACAAGGACGGCTGCAACCAAAAAATAGC